GGAGGAATAGGAAGCGCTATAGCAAGTGGTGTTAAAGCAGTAGGTGGTGCTGTTTTAGATGGTGGTAAAGAAGCTGTTAAAGAAGCAGTAGTATCAGGAGCAAGAAATGCAGTAATGAGTTTAATCTAAATAATAATATATGTTAAGATTGCGTCGCGAAGCACGCGAGGCTCTAGTCGAGCGTCCCACTTTTGAACAAATTGAAAGAGAAGCAAGAACACACAGATTAAGAATATTACCCGAAAAACAGAGGAGAAGTCAACAAGGTATATTATTAGATGATGTTGATTTTGATGACTTTGATTTAAATAGTTATGATAGAAAGAACATTTTAACTGATTATAATGATAACCCGAATAAAGGAACACAAACTGATATGTTTGAAAGTCGTAATTCAACTGAAAAAAGTGATAGTATTAGAACTGAAGAAAAGCCAACACAAAGTGAAGAATTAGAAAGTAAACCAATACAAGAACATGAACCAGAAAGACAGAGAGAACAGCCAGAAAGAGAAAGGGGAAAATGGATAATGACGAAGGTTTGATACAATGCTTGACAAAGATGAATTTCGAGAAGAGAGAGAAGAAATTAGAAGGATGAGAGAACAGAGAGAACAAGATCCTGATTTTATGGAGCGCGAACCATCTCTAGAGAAACAACAGAGTGAAGACTGCGATAATAATTTACCGATGAATGTTAAGAAAAGTTATGAGCCTTCATCATCATCATCATCAAGTTCTAGAAGAAGTTCAAGCAGAAGTGTATTATGACCCGTTGAAGAAGAGGCGTTAAGTGAATATGTTAACTCATCGCCTGCTGAAACAGTTCAAAGTTCAATTCCTAGTAATAGAGCAATTGAATATGTTGAAGCAAGTCCGCCACAAAGTGTTATAAGTTCAAGACGTTCACAAGAAACCATTGAATATATAAGGAGTAGAAGCAGTAGACGAACAATAAGTAGTTAATTGTTCATTTAAGGGGTTAAATTACTTAAACCCTACTTAAAGAAGAATTAACATTAAATAGTAAGATGAACTCCTGCTTTGTAACGGAAAAAGGCGAAAAATATCGATGATGAGCTGTTTGATATGCTATGGAACTCGCTAGATGAAGATAATAGCGAAGAAATAGCAAAAGCTAAAAAAAAATCACATAATGACAAAAACTATGAAAAATATAAACAAACTGGTTACTTTAGTAGCTATTATAAAAACAATAGTAGATGTTTTATATGTGAACAGTGCGGAATGAAGATAAGTAGCAACACTAATGAATCTAAACATAGGAACACGAAGAGTTGTAAAGAAATATATCAAGAAAGATTGGAAAAGGAAATGTTGGATAAGATAGGAAGAAAGATTTTGTTATGGAATTGATGTTATTATCTACAATATAATAATATTAACTGATGAGTAAAGAAGCAAAGTTATCGGAACTTTATTATGATATTGAATCAGGTTTTGGGAGTGCAAACAGTTTATATGATGATGCCATAAAATCGGGATTGGTAGTAACACTTCATGAAGTTAAAGAATGGTTGAAAAGTCAATCCATAAAACAAAGGAGCAACTACAAACAATATAACAGCTATTCAGCGCCTTCTGCTCGTTCTATTTATTCAGTTGATTTGATGAGTATGATTAGTTTAATGAAAGATACTAACACTTATAATAAAAATTGTCCGTTAAAGGGTTTTGTTTGTATTGATAATTTTAGTAAAAAAATGTCGTGTTGTGTCAATGCAAAATAGAGACGGTGAGACAGTATAAAATGCCTTAAAGGAATGTTTTAAAGTAATGGGTCATCCCCAGTCAGTTTATAGTGATGATGAAGGAGCATTGAATGATAAAATATTACAAAAATATTTGAAACATGAGGGTATAACACATAATACAACTTTAACTCATGCGAATGTGGCTGAACGAATGATTAGAACCTTGAAGAAAATGATAAGAGTGTTCAAACCTGTTTTAGATAAATACAATAAACAAGTGAAACATAGCACGACGTGAATGACACCGAATGAAGCACATAAAGATGAGCATCATGTAGAAGTTAAGGCTAATTCAGTAATGAAAGAAAAGTATTTGAGAAATTATCCTAATATTAAGAAGGTGATATGGTTAAAGTTTATACAAAAGATGGTGGTAATTATACCAGTAGAAAAGAAACGAGGAGCAAATGGAGCGAAAAAACATATGAAGTTAAAGAAGTTGAGAGAGATAACCATTGAATAAATATTATATTCTTGAAGGTTTACCTAAAAGATATATGAGACATGAATTATTAGTAATAAATAAATAAATGTACTTAAAGAAAAAAGACCTTATAAAAGTAAGTCTTATGGAAGCATTCAATGTCAATTTCAGGTGTAAATATTGTATTACTTATAAAAATATATGAGAAGAAACATTAAATGAGTTGTTTGATGGTAATATTACTAATAAAATATTGTCTTTTATAACATGTTATCATTGTAATAAAATGTATGAGTATGAAAAAGAATATGATTATGCAAATAAACTAATACTACCGAATTATAGAAGAACAGAACATAGACAAGTTCATTGTATATTGAATCATTTTGACAATGGTTACAAGAAACTAACAAATTTAAAAGATAAGACGAAGTATTTGAAAGACATAATAGATAAATCAAAATGTGACCGAAAACCATTATGTAAAAAGTTCTTAAATGATACAGAGAACATAAAAATGATTGACGAATATAGAATGTTTTGGTTGTTGGATTATAATATCTATTATCTTTCTGAAAAATGGGATTTTGAAGGAGAGACTTGTAAATATAGAAACAAATATGAAGAAACATCAAGTAATAGTATGATTGAATTCTTTGTTCATTACTTAAAGAATCAAGTAGGTCTTTATAAAAAAGTATTTTAAGTTTAATGATATACTTGGTTATTTAGATGATATATTTGCAGAAGATGAATAAGCAACCATAATATTATTACTGAATATAATTGAATGGTTGAACAAACCCTTGTAAATCTACTTAAAAGCAGACCGCCCTATAATACTAGGAACTATGACCATCCTAGATTATAGCAGGTGCAAAACTTGTAAGAAGGAGAAAAATAGTAAATCCATAATTTTAAGTAAAATATTACCAGAAGTTATAGCTAATAATATTCTTTCTTATGACTGTTGTAATTATTGTGGTAAACTGAGAGCAAAAGAACAAGAAAATAAAAGTAATGAGCACTTGAGTAAAATTGAAAAACACATTTTATATTTTAAACGAACTAGATTATCTAGGTTTAATGCATATAATGGAAGCATACTAGTAGAAATGAATCAAATTAAAGAAATAATTGATGATGGGTACAGTCCATTCAAGAAACTTTTAAAATCATATGTTATAAGTTGTTATAGATTAATAATCTTGCATTTTTATAAGATTATTAATGACTTACATAGTAAGAAGTGGTTAAAAGAATATATTGAAAACAACTCAAATATATTTACAATGAGATATAGTTATTATATGGTTATGTAGATTGATTGTTTAAGTAAATTGATTGTTTATGAATATTTAGTTGCTTTAACTGGCTATGATAGAAAATATATTAATAATGATGAATTAACAAATTATTTGAATGATTTGTTTGATGATTATAATAACTAGATGCACTGGCGACCCTAGGCGGGAGGGGGTAGGCACTTAAAGGGAGGGCGCCCTACTATAGCAAGAGAGGCATGAGCAAGAAAGAGCCAATGTGCAGCTTTATAAATTGTGACGTTTGTAATGAAATTCTTAATAAGAAAAGTTATAATAAACATATTCAATCAAAGAAACATTTAACAAATAAAGAAAAACAAAAACTAAAAACACAACAGGGTTTAAATAAAATAAGTGAGAAAGAAATTGAGCCTAAAGGACTAGCAAAATTATATTCAATTATGCATTCTTAACTTTTTTATTATTACAAAATAATAAACTGCAAGACAAAACCCCACACAAACATTCATAATAAAAAATATTATGAATATGTGAAAAAACGCTAGAACCTCAAACGTCCCACAAACCTAGGAATTATGATAATCCCTGAAAATGATGATGAAATAATGAATGAGAGGGCTACATGTGATGAAAGAGAGGTATAAAAGTACTAAAATTTTAGGATTTTATGGTTAAACCCTAGAACCAACCCCGATAAAACGCATGAGGGGGAGATAATTATGAAGAATGAAGAAGAAGAAGATGATGATGATGTGTAATGAAAAATGAAGATGATGATAGGTTGACCCCAGCGCCTGACGGTGGAAACCCTACAACCAACCTTTTGGGGATTTTTTCCCCTCCCCTCCCCTCCTGGGCGTGCCGGCCTTGGTTGTGTGTCGTGTTCGCGGCTTCTTCCTCCCCTCTCCACCGCGCCCATCCCACCCCACCCCATCCCGCCACACCCTTGCACGGTGTCTCCCACCTCGCCTTGCCACTTCACTGTATCCCCACCACCCTAACCCATCCCGCCACACCCTGTGTGCCATTCTGTTAGGTAGCGTGTCTATTTCTAGGCAGAACTTATTAGGTAGCGTGTCCATTTCTAGGCAGAACCCAGCCCCCCGTCCATCAAAAAATAACTAGTAGTGGTAGTGGTGGTGGTAG